CGTGTCCTGGGGGTGGGGGGCTCTGGGAGGGGGGGGGAGGGGGGAGGGGGAGGAGAGGCCCCTGACCTCCTCGCGTCGTGAAAAAATGGCGACGGGAGATGTTTCTCTATTTTCGGCCTCCGGGGGCCCTTCCCGGGCCTCGGGACTGTCAAACAACGACTCAGGATGAACAACCGGTCCCGGGGAAGGGGTCCAGCCCTCTGGGGGTCGACGTCGCGAGAAAATCACGACGTCTGAGGTCTGGGGGGGGGGGATGGAGGAGGGCGAGCGAGCCAGCGGAAGCGCGTGTCAGTGACCAGCGCATCGCTGATGACAAGGGGAGGGCGGAGCGATACGCAGGGGAGCCTACCACTCCGCAGGGAAGGCAGGGCCAGGAAGGCACTGCGGGCCGCAAGAGAGCGACCGGGGGCGCGACGGGGGGCTCCCCTCTGGGGGTCCAGCCCTCTGGGGGTCGACGTCGCGAGAAAATCACGACGCCCGAGGTCTGGGGGGGGGGATGGAGGAGGGAGGGGCGGAGAGGAGAACGCAGAAGGAGAGGGGGGCGCGACGGGGGGCTCCCCTCGCGGGCGGCCCACGGCAGGCGGGCGCCCGCCGTGCTGCGCGTCGCCCGGGTGGGCGGCGCCTGAGCGCGGGGGCGCGGCGTCCCGCGGCGGCGGCGGGCTCGGGGGCCCGCCCGGGCGGGCTCGGCCCTGCGCGCGGCGCGGGCCGAGGAGGGCAGGGGGAGCCTGGGGGCTTCAGGGCCGTCGGACCGACCCCAGCTCCATCCTCGTCTCGACCCGCTCCCTCTCGGCACCCCAGTTGGGTGTGTGTATATATATATATATATATACATAGGTATATTAATGTATATGTGTTCCGAGTCCTATTCCTATTCCTATATTCATGTTTTTATTACCCGGACCCCGCCCCACCCCCAAGAGGCCATTTGAGGCCCCCAAGAGGGCCCTAGATGGCTTCAGAAGGCCTCTGGAGGGCCCCAGCTCCCCAAGACGGCCCAAAAGAGCCCCAAAAGCATCCACACGGCGTTTTCCCGTGCGCTCGTTGCGCTCACTTCAGACTGCCTGTCTTTCCCGCACTTCTATCACCCTTTCTCTCTCTCTCTCTCTCTCCCTTCCCGTTCTGCCTTCCTCGTCGACCTCCACGTTCGTGGTATCCGATGGCCATCCTCGTTCGCCCGCTCCTTCCTCTGGACTTTCACCCATTTCTCCCCCCCTCCTCTCCCCTTCTGCCTCTTCAGCGCCCCCCTAATCCTTGCTCCCTTCCTGTTCCTTGTCCAGGGACAGGTGCCATCGCAACAGTTTGACGCTTCGTCGTTTGCCAGCACCTTCGCGCGTGACGAAGCCATCATTCCTTTTCCACTCCTGCGCACAAGCGTGCAAGCGCATCGGCGAACGCGGCATCAGCAGGCACCGGGACATCAGAAAAATTAGCCGATCGCCCGTCCAGGCCTCGAGGTCCCCCCTGCTGAAGCAAGCGATGATTTATTGCTTTGCCGGGAAAACGTCCGTAACAAGGCGCATGGCGCGAAGCGCCAATGTAGTTTGTATATATATATATATATATATATATATATGAGAGAGAGATATATATATATAGAGAGAGAGAGAGAGAGAGAGGAGAGAGAGAGAGAGAGAGCGTGATCCACCGCCGCTTTACTGTGGAAAATTGCTCCCTCTTCCTCCGGAACCCGGGGGTCCCCCCCCCTCCGAAAATCCCCCCCCTGCTGGACCCCCCCCCCCCTCTCCCCCGGCCCCCCCCTCCCCTAACCCCCCCCCTCCCCCTCGAAAACCGGGGGGGTCACTACCGGTTCGACCCCCCCCCCCCCCCCCCCCCCCTCGAAAACCGGAGGGGGGGTCACTACCGGTTCGAACCCCTCCCCCCACCCCCCCCCTCACCGCCAGCAAACGACTCCCGGTCCTTTCCACTGTCCCCACACCACTGTCCCCACCACCACCGTCCCCACCACTGTCCACTGTCCCTACTGTTCCCACCATTGTCCTCACCACTGTCCCCACCACTACCGTCCCCACCGCTGTCCCACTGTCCCCACCACTTTCCCGCTGTCCCCTCACCACAGTCCCCATCACCACCGTCCCCACCACTGTCCGCACCCCCCTCTCGGTTTTCGAGGGGGGGGGGTTCGAACAGGTAGTGACCCCCCGCGGTTTTCAAGGGGGAAGGGGGGGGGGTTCGAACCGGTAGTGCCCCCCCCCTTTTTCATGATGAGCGGGGGGGGGGAGGGGTTCGAACCGGTAGTGACCCCCCCCGGTTTTCCGGAGAGGGGGGGGGGCGGCCGGTAGTGACCCCCTCCGGTTTTCCACCAGCAGCGGTAGAACACGCTCTTTCACATATATATATATATATATGTGTATATATACACACATACATGTGCTTTTCGAAGCCCGAAGGAGACGGCCCACGCCCCCGAGCTCAGAGGGGGCAAATCGGCCAGTGGGGCCCGCGCCACACCAGTGGGGATCGTGGCGGGTTACAAGATGTTCGTGGGGTCGGGCTGTTCAAGCGCCGCCGCAGGGCCGCCGGGCTCACGGAATGGTGCCAGCGCCGCCGGGCGCAGGGAGCACGAGAGGGGGGTGAGAGGAGGAGGAGGAGCGGAGGAGGAGGAGGAGGAGGACGAGGAGGAAGAGGAGAAGGAGGACGAGGAGGAGAAGGAGGAGGAGGAGGAGAAGGTTGAGGAGGAGCCTTGCGTGTCCTTCCGCTCCCCTGTCGCTTCGTCGTTCGTTACCCCCTTTCTGTGCTCGCGTCATCGTTGTGATCGTCGTCGTCCTCCGGATCCCGTGGGCATGCCCGGGGTGGCCCCTATCAGCCGCCGCTTCTTGTGCCGGGAACGCTTAGCTGTCTTGATACGTGCGTGTGGAAGCGCCGTGCTCAACACGTCAGGGTTTGTACAGTGCGCGTGCCAGGCCTACGTTGCCAGCCTACGTGGTGAGCTAGCTCTGTGGCAACACGCTACGTATTGTGTGTTGTGTAGCGGGGCAGCTCTGGTCAGGAACTTTTGGATCGAGTGTCGCTCTGCTGGTTCTGGCCCACGTTTCGGCGCGGCACAGTTTCCGCGTTCCCAGCTCAGCACTTTCCATTTTCCACTTCCACATCCTCCCGCCCCGCGGAGCGGAGCGCCACGCTTTCCTCTCGCAAGGCACAGCGTGCCTCCAGGGCCGCCGCTGCGACACGCTATGCGCAAAATCCTGACCGTAGGCCCCCCCATCTCGGGTCCGAGAAGATGGGGTCGAGGGCAGGGGTCGATCCAAACGGTGGTTTAGCGATTTCGTGGGCCGTTTTTGTTTCGATTTCCTTTCTGCAGCAAAGGCGGACTGAAGACAAAACAAGGGAACACGACAACACAACAAAAACGAGAAACACTATTTTGGTCGGGCCCTGGTCGAAAGATCGCTCGTACGTGCATAGGAAGGAGGGGGGGGGGCTCGACCCCCCCCCCCCCCGCCCACATGCTGGTGCTCGCGCGCATACTGGCAATCGCAGCGCACCCCCGCCCCGACGTGCCACACGCCGCCCAATCGCCACCGTTACCAGGCCCCCCCTCCCCATAGGTAGCCATCGCCACCAGAAATCAAGCAAACAGTCAGCTCAACGGCCCAGGCTTCCCAAGTGGGAACCGAGCAGATGGCGTCGAAGGATCGCTCCGCATCGCCGATCAAACGGCAATGCATCGCCGACGTCGCCGATGCATCGCCGACGTCGCCGATGCATCGCTGATGTGTCGGTGATGCATCGGCGATGCGGTGCGATCTTCCGACCTCGTTTGCTCGGACCCCATTTGGGAGGTCTCCAAGTGGGTGTACACATAGTGTGGACTAATACTGGTAGGAGTTACTGCTCATTTTGAGGAGGGCACGGTGCCGATTCCGTCGCAGGCGTTGTCTATTTGAGGCAGAATGTCGCCTGGCCAACTGCGGCCTCTGTCGGTGTTGGATCGCATTTGCTGTTGAGCTTCGTACCCATTTTTGTTCCGTACCCTTGTCGGGCGTGCAGAGAGTGTCGGCCTTGGACGAACGAACGGAACCCTACCAGATAACCAACAAGCAATTCAAACACGTCCATGGAGCTGGAGGCACGGCTGCGGGCACAGTAGAGTTTCGCATTGGCCAGCGCCGCAGAGGGGCAACGCCCATTCGCAGGGGCAGCCGTGCCATGGCGACCCACCACTCCAGGCCGGAGGCAGACAGGTCGTTGCCGAAAGGATGGTGAAGCGGAGCACGTGTGGAGGGGGGGACGGTTGTATGGGTCGAGTGGGGAGGGAGGGAAAGAGGGGGGATAGGCAGCGGGGAGTGAAGAAAATGGCACATACCAGAGGACTCGGGACGTGGAGGACGGAGAGGATTGTAGCAAGAGGAGGGAAGCGGGACGTGGGAAGAGGGGAAGAGGCACGAGATTGGAGGGATGACGCAGAGACGTGATAATGCGTGGTGCGTGAGAGAATTTGGAGCAAAAGTGGGCTTTGCGAGAACAGCGCGTGCGAGACCATGCGGCGGCATTCAAGAAACGTCGGGGGATTCGCGTGATGTTCGGGAGCAGTGGTGGTGCACCTGTGACGCATTGTAGTCCCCCAGCCCGTCAGGGCTGCAAGGGCCGGAGAGGGGAAGAAGAGGGATGATGCCGAGGAGAGGGGCAGGTGCAGCGGAGAGGAGGGATGGAGAGGGTAAGTAGGGGAGCGGTAACGAGTGGGGGGTGATGATGCTGATGATGATGTTGCTGACGATGATGTTGATGATCATCATAATCATGAGCGACCAAGAAGAATCCCGAAGGCAAGCGTGATCATGCCTGTCGCTGGCACGGTGCCCCAACCACACACGCCCTGATCAGTTCTCGTCTGGAGCACGACTGCACATCCATCGGCAGAGTGTAACGAAGTCTCGGGGACCCCAAACGGACACAAAACATGCCAATCGAACGTTCAGCCCCTCAGACGCGCTGGTGGGTTTGCCTGTGTTTCTGACGTATCCGCTGCCCCAGACCTCCGACGTCATGATTTGTTCATTACGTCGACCCCCAAAGGTCTGGACCCATTCCTAGGGACCAGTTCTTCATCCCGAGTCGTTTTTGACGGTCCTGGGGCTCGGTAGGGGCCCCCAGAGGCCGCAAGCATTGAAAAACCTCCCGTCATGATTTTTTCATGATTCGAGGGGGTATGGGGCTGCCGCAACGCCCTCGTCGCTTGTCAATGGCTCCGCTGTGGCTGACAACGTCGGGCCGTCCCTGCACTGGCCACGAAGGCCCCACAGGCAGTAGGCTGCCAGGGCTCCTCGGGCGAGCCCGGGACCTGGAAGGAATCGCTCCTCCTCCTCCTCCTCCTCCTCCTCCTCCTCCTCCTCCTCCTCCGCCTCGTGCTCCTCCTCCTCATCCTGATCCTACTTCTCCTCCTCATCCAGAACTGCCCGATCTGAGAGATCCCTGTTTTATCCCGGTCCGATTTTGTCCGGGTCTTGATTCTAGTCTCACTGTTGGGAACCCCCATACCGGGTGGTGATCTACCAGGTGGCGACCTGGAATCCCCAAAAAGGTCACCGCTGGGTTTGGGGACGCGGGGTCACCACCGGGTTTTGTGACTCCTGGACCCACCAATGTCCGGGACATCCTCGGACACCCGCACGAGTCCCCAAACCAGGTGGTGACACCAAATCACCCGAGACTCACCGCCAGGTGTTGTCACCACCACGTTTGGGGACTACCAACACTGTGGGCGACAACATGGGGTCGACCTGACGCTGGTCACGGATGCCTCACAGGCAGCACGCAGGGCTTTGGCAATATTTTCGGCACGATCTTCTCGAGCGGGGCTAGGACCAGAGCGTTCCGGAATGCTCTGAGAAGGCCTCGGTTTCAGAGACATTTTCCAGAGCCGCCGGATCTCAGAGATTCTCGATTCATCCTCACCCGAATTTATCTTCGTCCTGGTTTCGTCTTATCTGGCAACCCTTTCGGCATGATCTTCGAGCGTTAAAAGAGTCCATCGTGTGGTCGCTCAAGCAGAAGAGTGCTATACGAAGACTGCGATGCAGCTCTCCCTGCCCACGGCAGGTGGGGTCAGAAAGAAGAGGAGCCCAGTAGGAGAGGCGGAGCTGGAGGAGGGGGAGGAGGATGAGGAGGAAGAAGACGAAGAAGAAGTTGCGCGGGGGCGAGGAGGAGAACAAGGGCGCTCTCGAGAGCGCGCAGTTGTTCGCGCTTCGCGGTTCGGCTCGAATTCCTCATCCTCCTCTTCTCTTATGGGGGCGGCGCGAGAGCGCGAAGTTATTCGCGCACCGCGAAGCGCGAAGTGAGGCGCCCTTGGAGAAGGAGGGGAGGAAGACTGTGGAAGCGGAGGAGGAAGAGGAGGAGGAGGAGGATAATAATAATAATAATAAGAAGAATAATGAGTTCCACAAAGACGAGGGGAACAATGAGGAGGGCGAGATGGAAGAGGAGGAGGATGATGATGAGGAGGAGGAGGAGGACGGGGAGGGAGAAGCTCTGCGAACGCGAATGCATCTGCGGCAATTCATGCGGTGTTCGCAATGTGTCATTTAAGCGGATTCTGCCCCCACCTCCAGTTTCTGCATGTTGCGCTTGCGGCAGCAGGCACAAGCAATGTCTGGCATCTCATGCATCCGAATTTGTTGCAGGCCAGCGACTAGAGTGCTTGGCCGACTAGCGAATATACGTTTCCGAGGCAGGGACTTACGCGCCGGTCGTTGAGAGTAGGTATTTCGAGGTTCCCAGATCCCGATCTACCTTCAGCGCCTTCCTACTTCAAGAGTCGATGTGCTTTTGCTGTGTGTTGTTATTCTCTGGGAGGGCCTGAATCCAACCTACTTCATCCGTCTTCCCACTTCACGTTCTCATCTACCTCTTCCGACCGACGCGCATCCGCAACCACCGCCCCGGGGGGGGCCGATCCTCGGGGACTACGGCAGGCGGTGGATGCGGATCTCCTCGGGGCCCCGGGAAGGGCCGGCGGGGGGGCAGGGCCACCCACGCCCACCGCCTGCCCGAGCCCCCCCCGCAGCTCTCGGGCCCCCCGAGAGGCGGTGGCTCGCGATGCAGAGAGCCCCGCCTCGGCTCCCGTGCAAGTGTCTGGCGGCCAGCAGTCGGCTGGAGTGCTCCTCCGCCCTCGGCCCCGCCCTGTTTTTTTTTTGTGCACGCCCGCCATGGGGCCGCGGCCGCACCCGGCGGCCCCGAGAGCGCGGCCTCGGAGAGAAGAGCGCGGAGACGGCGGGAGGCGGCGAGGGTGGGGCCGAGCGCCGCGCGGGGGGCCGCGCGCCGCTGCCGCCGAGGACGGCACGACCCGCCCCCGACCCCGGTCGGGTGCCCCGGGTGCCCCCACCTCCGACCTGGTGATCCAGGGCGTCCTGGCTCTTGGCACCGCTCGGACGTGTGCACTTTTCCTCCGGCGAGGGCCATCGAGGAGCATCCTCGATCATTTGGCGAAAAAACCACGCGCGAAACCGAGAAAATCACAGGGAACGGACGTCCGAGCGATGCCCAGGGCTGGGAGTGAGGGTGGGCGTCTTGGGCCCCCAGGACCCCAAGACGCAGCACCACCCCCACCGGCAGCCAGGGCCGCTTGGATCAGCGGGGAGAGCATGCTGTGTAGGACATGTGTTCGCCAGCGTGGGCCCCAAACAGTGTGTTCTAGCCATCTATGTTGTGCTATCTATGTGGGTCAATGGAGGTAGTGCCATCTGTGCTGTGCAATCTGTGTGGTGCAATATCTGCTGTATGATCTATGTATAAGCACTATATGTGCAATCTAGGTGGATCAATCGATGTGGCGCAATATACATTGAGCAATATACGTGGTGCAACCTATGTTGTGCAACATCTGTGGTGCAATCTATGTTGTGTAATCTATATTGTGCCATCCATGCTGTGCAATATAGATTGTACCAACGAGGTTGTGGAACCCATGTGGCGCATTCTAATGAATTGACCAGCCACGACGAAGCGGCGATTCTGCCCACCACGAGGACAGCTAATTATGATACGGAGCCAGCCCCGCACCGCGCTTCAAAAGATGATGGGTGCGAAGGCCTATGATGGCCCTAGATTCCAAAAACAAGTCTTTCGGATGGTCTCGGAGGAAAAAGTAGAGGAGGAGGAGGAGGAGGAGGAGGAGGAGGAGGAGGAGCTGTCCTCAGCCGCGGGCGGCGGCGCCCGCTGTGGCGTCGGCTTCGGCTGTGGCCGCGCCGGCGCGGCAGCGGACGTCGGCGGCGGCGGCGGCGCCGGCAGCAGACGACGGCGAGGACGTCGGCGAGGACGGCGAGGACGGCTCGAAGAAGAGAAACGCAGTCGCTATGAATTGTAGGCGCCCCGCGCGGATTTCTGGGATCCGCGCTGGGCCCTCCCAGCGGCGCCTCCGGCGCCGCCCCTGGCGCGCTCCGCGCGCCAGGGAGGGGGATCCAGCGCAGATCCAAGAAATCTGAGCGGACCGTCGAAAGTTCATGTTTATGCAGTTTTTCTATCTTCACTAGGACGGCGGCGGCGGACGACGGCGGCGACGACGACAAAGACGAGCAGGATGAGCTTCGTTCTTTCAGGCCACGGTGCAGTGCACGAGTTTGTCCGTCGCAGGTCGGCTCGTGTAGTGTTCCCGGTTTGCCTTGCGACCTTTTGATGCGCACAGCGGTCGAGGCCGATTCGGTGAAGCTTTGTGGTCGTGCGCCTTCCTCCTCCTCATCCTCTTTCCCCCGCAACGCAAGAGCAGAAAACAAAACGAATTATGTTAATACACGTATTGAAAGAAGAATAGAAATACGAATATTAATAATAATAGTATGAATATATATATATATATATATATATATATATATATACACATACACAAATATATATATATATATATACACATACATATATATATATATATATATATTTATATAAGAAAAGCAGGCGGAGGATCGAGCGAGATCCCCTCCCTTCAGCTCCTCTGTTCGGCGAAGAAAGAGCGGTATACACGCAGCCTCGGATCTGCCGCGCGGGTTTCTTGGACCGGCGCTGGGCCCCTCTGGCGGCGCCTCCAGCGCCGTCCGTGGCGCACTCCGCGCGCCAGGGAGGGGAGTCCAGGGCCGATTCAAGAGATCCGAACGGAGCTCCGAGAGTGTGTGTTTCTGCCGTGTGTTGTTCCTCTGCCAGCGCCGTTCGCACTCAGGGCAGCGCAGACCTGGATCGAGCCCCGCTTCCAGTACCAAATCGGCGCGCTCCGTCGCCAAATCAGGCGAGGCCCAGGTGCTGGAAGGCACCCCGAGGCCGGATAACTTCCGAGAACCTGCCAAGACGTCTGAAAGCCTCGAGCTTCCAGGCCTTTCGTCCCCTCGCCGTTTCCCCTCATGAGGCCCAGCCCCGCCCACGAGGATCTGGCACCCACGTGGACGTGGGGCGGTCCCCAAAGGGCCCTGCCTTCGAGGATCGAAGGAGTTGCCATCGCTTCCGCGGCGGAAGGGCGGCGGAAGTAAAGCGAGGCCCCCTCCGCTGGCGGAAGGCTGCGGAAGGCTGGCGGAAGGCGGCGGAAGTCAAACATGCGCTCCCCAAGATCGGAGGCTCAAAGATGCGGGGTCCTGAGGGTGTAGGAAGGGATCCCAGGGTGTATTTGCGCTGTTTGAGGAGCCTCGTCCACAAGACCACATCCCACAGGACACCATCTTCGAACGTCTGTGCCACCGGCAAGGCACGAGCACGTCTTTGAGTGCAGGGGTGCTGGAAGCGGCCACGCGTGCCCGACTCCCGCACCCGCCAAGCGCGCGCGCGCCGCACGTGGGCATCCGCAGCGTGTGGCGACGGCGTGCTCAGGCTGCAGCTTGCAGTGGCGGCCCATGCCAAGAGACGCCCTGCTCGCCTCCGGGGTGCCCTGGGTGTCTCGGGTGTCGATGGTGTTGCGATGGGACGGCGTGGCGTTCCCACGTCAAGAACCAATGGGCGCCCGCTTTGCTGCGGAAGGCGTGGCGCTCCCGCGCCGGAAATCAGTGGGCGTCCATGGGGTCTCAGGGTTGGGGTTTATTGCGGAGGGTTTCTTGTGGTCGAGCCTCCGCTGTGCCAGCACAGGCTGGGCGACGACGTCTGCCTCCGCGGGCGATCTTTTCTGTTCGTTGGCCTCCAAGTTTACTCCACGAGAAGTCCGGCTGCTCAGAGAAAGAGCGGAGAGCCCTTCTCTTTTTCTGGGTTTCTTCAGGGTTTTCTTGAGGGCCCTCCAGGGACATCTCGGGGCCGCCTTGGGGCCCCTCGCGGCCGTCTTGGGGCGTCTCGGAGGCCTTGTGTCGTTTTGGGGGCTCTCTGGGGCCCTTCGGGGGCCCTCTCGGGGCCCCCTGAGGGCTTCCTAGGGAGCCTCCAGGTGCCCTCCTGAACCGTCTCGGTGCCCTCATGGCTTGTCTTGGGGCCCTCTTGGGCCGTTTTGGGGCCCTCTTGGGGGCACCTGGGGCCGTCTTGGGACGATCCTTGAACCCCCTCTTTAGGCCATCTTGGGCCGCTCTTGGCCCGAGAAAAGGCCAGAACCCTGAAGACCTTCAACAACAAACCCATGATTGTGGCATGCTGAGGCCCTCTCGGGGGTCCTCTTGAGGGCCGCTGGAGCCGTCTTGGGTCCGCCCTCTTGGACCGCCTTGAGGCCATCTGGGCTCTCTTGGACCGCGCTCGAGGGCACCTTCGAACGCTCTTGGACAGTCTGGGGCTCTCTTGGACTGCGCTCGGGCCGTCTTGGAGCCCTGTGGGAGTCCTCTTGGGGGTATCTTGGGCCGTCTTGGGCGCTTCTTGGGCCGTCTTGGGCGCTCTCCCCCCTATTTACGCCCCTAGAGTACGCCCCTAGAGGGCTTCGC